CCATCACACCATCACACACACACACCATCACCACCCCACACACACACACACACACACACACACACACACACACACACACACACACACACACACAACATCACACAATATCTCCCCCCCCCCTCCTACGACAGCCGTCAACGCACCCCCGAGGCGGACGGCTTGATCTTGGTCTGCTCATGGAACGCCCCCGCATGCACTGCCGGCAGCTGCGCAGACGGCGATGGACTCTGGGCACCAAATGCCTTCGTGTCCGCAGGCTTCGTGCGCACACTCGCGCGCGCCATCGCTGTTGGGCGGAGATGGTGGTGATGATGGTGGTAAGGGAGGATGAGCATGACATTATGTGATGTGGTGCAAACAGCAATGGGATGTGCATGCGTGTATGAATGTGTGTGTGTGTGTGTGTGCGTGTGGATGTGTGTGTGTGTGTGTGTGGATGTGTGTGTATGAATGTGTGTGTGTGTGTGTACAGGCGTGTGCAAGGGTGTGCGTGCAAGCGTGTTCATGTGCCACGTGCCATGACATGTGCCACCACGTGTGGTATGTCACGACATGTTGGAGCCTCACCAAACTTGAAGTCGTCCTCGAAGGTCTTCTCCATGTCGCGCATCTCTCGCTCCAGCTCCCGCGTCGCCGTGCCGGACGTCGCCTGCAGCACGCGCCGCAGTGAGCACAGAACTGCCATCGAATACACAAACACACACACGCACACACACACACACACACGCAAGCACACACGCACGAAAGCACTCACGTGCATGCACGAAAGCACTCACATGCATGCACACACGCACGCACGCACGCACGAAAGCACACACACGTACGCACGAAAGCACTCACGTACACACACACACATACTACCACACATGCATACAAACACACAAGCTCGCACATACACGCGCGCATGCACGCATACATACACGCGCGCACACAACACCGATATGCGGACCGCTGAGGACGAGGAGGAAGAGGCGGACATGGTGGCAGCAGCTGGGGGCGGGTTGCGAAAGGACGGGGCCGGCTGCGCACGAAGACGCGTCTGAGCACACACACGCGCGCATGGATCAAAAGAGTAGTGTGTAAGGATGCCACGGGTCACAGATGGCGGGGGGGGGATGGCAGTGACAGTACCCCATACACAATCACAGCGCAATCGCAAATACATTCGAGTTTGCAACGGCACGTCAACAGCAACTGAGCAGACGCAACACACACACACATACACACACATATACACATACACACACGCACATACACACATACAACGCATACACGCATACACACGCACGCACCACTTTTGTTGACTGTGCGGTGTTTGCGGGGCGGGCGGCCGTTGGACCGCGGCTCACGCTCGCCTGCCGCGCTGGTGACGATGACGACGACGATGGAGACATGGGTGACTGCTGCCTCGCCTGTGTAATAATTGTGTGTGTGTGATAAGTATGTGCGTGTCATTGCGCGTGCTTGCATGTGCATGAGCGAATGATGTGTTTGTCTGCACACCCATGTGCCATGCTCTTGTGCTGTCCTCACCATCCCTCTCCAACCATTCCAACTGCTCCTCTTCTTTGCACCTGCGAGAAACAGTGCCCGATGGTGTTCATAATCTCGCCGGCCTGGCCCGCACTCTTGAAGGCGTAGCAGCACTTTGGGGCCTTGGCGTGCTCCTTGGCGATGAAGCAGAAGATGTTGTTGTTCCCGCGCCGGTCATCCTGGCAATACGACACGTTCTGCAGCGGAATGTCCAGGAAAATGTGGCCCGTGCTCCTGCTCGTGCCAGACCACAGGTTGCACACAGTTTCGTGGCGTGGGCATGTGAGTTGGAAAGGGGGGGGGGAGGATACACAGACAACAGGAAAGCTCGACGCAAAGCAGACACAAGGAACGCACTATTCATGCTCCAACACCAGTCAGCACACCCACACACACACACACACACACATCCACACCCACACACACACCCACATCCACACCCACACACCCACACACCCACACACCCACACACCCACACACCCACACACCCACACACCCACACACCCACACACCCACACACACAGACCACAATTTAGCGTACCTGTCAGTGACCTTGATACCGGTGAGGGAGACGCTGAGCTCGACACGAGCAGACTTGATGCCCTCTCGCTTGCGCTCGCGGCGGTCGGAGAGGATGCGGTGCAGTGCATAGTCCACCACCTTCTCCCCCTTGGCCTCGGGCACTTCCTCTTTGCCATAGTACTTGACATAGTACAGGTGCATGCCCTGCATGAGCGCAGCGCGCTGGATGGCCACGCTTGGCCGATCAGCCTTCTTGAACAAGCGGCCCGCCATGATGATCAACAGCAACGATCCGCGGTGACGAACAATCTCAACTCCACTCAAATGAAATGAATGCACGCAAGGGCGGGATTTGGAGTCAAGGAAAGCTGTACAGTCTTGCAATGGCTCTTCCACGTCCACCTGCGACAACGAAACAAACACCGGCAACGGACAACCAACGCGGGAATGGACAGTGATTGAAGGACACCCCAATGCATGGGGGTGGTGTGACGTGGCGTGAGTGTGCGACGCTGGATGTGCTTTTGTTTGTCAGGTGTTGATCTGTTGTTGGTGTTGTTCACATCACAAATGAAAGAAGAACTGCAACACAAACACACAAACACACAAACACGTTTCCCCAAAGTGTGGGAATTGTGACAAGGGGCCGCCCCACTCCGACTCGCGCACCAACCAACGCACAAACAATGCAACCCTTACCAACTCACGCCAGTGCAGTGCCACTGACCAAGGAAAGGAAGGAGAGCTTGGTTGGTGGTGGTGGGAGTGTGCTTTGTGTGCTTGCGAGTTTTGGCTTCTTCTCCACAACAAACCACCCAAATAACAAAATAAAAAGGTGTGATGAGCAATTAAGGGAGAAGAGACTAAAGGGTCAACTGGATATGTCAGAAGTAACCGTGCATGGAATCTGAGAGTTTGTGCACAATTTTGCTGGAACCGCGCCAAACACTCGAAACGCGAAGAAGCAAAGATGCGAGTGGTCATCCGTCGCAGCATCAGTGGTGATGATGAAGATGGCGGCACTGGACTGCCGGAATGGCTGTTGGTGGAGACACAAGGTGTGGTGATCCCACGGACAGGAAAGGACCTCAACAACATGCCTTTCGGAGACATCAAAATCAAGGGCAAGGTGCTCATCATCTGGCTCTGTGTGTGCGTGGTGTGTGTGTGTGTGTGTGTACTTGCGTGTCTGCGTGGTGTCTGCGTGGTGTCTGCGTGTGTGCGTGGTGTGTGTGTGTGTGGTGTGTGTACTTGCGTGTGTGCGTGTGTGTGTGTCTGTACTTGGCGCGTGCTCTCTCCCCTCCCTCACTCATATACGTCCACACGCACACACGCACACGCACACACACACATTGTGGTCCTTTTTGTTTCGTCACAGAGAGTGGACATGCTGGTCGGACAGCACTTGATGCAGGTGAGAACAACACGTATGCTGTGCTGTAGTGTGTGTGTGTGCGTGCGTGCGCGCGCGCGCGCGCGCGCGTGTGTGTGTGTGTGTGTGTGTG